AAAAAAAAAAAACTAAAAAATCTGATTAAAAGTTAAAAATTACCGGAACCGGAAAAATCGGATCACTATAACATAAAGCTCTCATATCATTGATTTTTTAGGTATGAAATTTGGCGCTGCGCTTCAACCATCTACGCAGCCAATAGTTTGAATAGTTTGCTTACAATAAATAATAAATAAAAAGCATACAGTCAAAATCAAGTTTGTATAACTTGTAGCTAAAAACCACTGACAAAAAAGTCTGTTATAGATTGAAGTTAAATTTTCGAATGTTCATCAAAGGTATATTCGATCCCTGCGGCGTAGCCGAAGAAAGCATTGTCCTTACTTGTTTAAAAGTAATGATGTGCATATTCAAGTGATGCGGACTTTATGTACTACATACTTATATGTGTACATACATATGTATGTATGTGCTTACACGTACATTATATCTTATCAGAATGAGTAACCCCATTTGATGTTTTTGCAAAACGCTTATTTATTTTAAACTAATCACAGAAGAATTTTTAAGAGGTCAACATTTACTGCAGACAAATTATTTTTAGCTGTAGGAACATATCGATATTTCTTTAATTAGATTATCTTACGACTTGCTTTAAAACATAGAAAACGTTTATGCACGGTTGACAAAATAGATCGCTCTAAACAGGTAGAACTTACAGTACCCGTCAACTCATTAGATTCAATGAGAAAACTATTTATGTTGTTGCTTGTAAAGGCTTTGGTTGATCTAACTGGTGCAAGTGCAAGTGAAAACACAGTTTCCTTCACTTTTTGCCCGACGTTTGGCTAACTTCCTTAGCTTCTTTAGGGGCGCAAATCTTTATTGAAAAACAACAAAAACATTCATACAATTACAATTATACATTATTAAAGCAAATAAAAACACATTTATGTGATGATCAAAGACAACAACAACAAACACAAAAACTAACAAAACTTACATTTACAAATATATAGGCTAATAAAAAGGCTTAAGAACTAAGTATCGGTAGCAGCTTCCAATGGCACACTTGTCGAACTGATTGTGTTTTGTAAACTATTTATATTTACATGCATATACATATGTATGTATATTAGGGTGCCCATCGAAAATGCTTTTTTTTTTGGTAGTTTCAAGACCCTACCCCCTAATTTAATTCGTTTTTATGAGAAATATTATTGCCTAGTTTTATAGAATTTTTAAACGTCCATTTAGAGATCGCGACCTGCCCATTTAGGTCAGAAAATTTATGATTTATGAGTTTTTGAATGACTATTTTTGATTCGATTTCAAAGATCGAATATGATTATATAGGACTTTAAAAGTGTGTATACCAAATTTGGTTGAGACCGGTCAAGTAGTTCTTGAGATATATGTACATACAGTTGTCCACAAAATAATAGGAGTGCGATATTTTGACCAGTTTTGGATATTTGTCTTTTGTTTATTTAATGTTTATTATTTTTTTATAAAAGCCTAGCTGGCTATACAACAAACACCATATAAATTCAGATTTTAAACTTTGTATAAAAATTATAAAAATTTTGCAATTTTTCACCCAAATTTCAAACATTTTAATCAGAATCTTTAGAAAAAATTCTGGTATGCAGTTTTGTAGCACATTCAATTCTAGTCTGAAGAAGTGCAGGTTTCAAGCGGCTAAAAAATTCCGTTGATTTTTGAGAATTTTTTTGGTTAAAGGTGTTTCACGTTTTTTCCATACAAAGTATGTCGACAATTTTCTTTTATATGGAGGACACTGCCAGCAAAAAAATTGCCGGAATTTTTTAGCCGCTTGAAACTTGCACTTCTTCAGACTAGAATTGAATGTGCTACAAAACTACATACCAGAATTTTTTCTAAAGATTCTGATTAAAAAGTTTGAAACTTGGGTGAAAAATTGCAAAATTTTTATAATTTTTATACAAAGTTTAAAATCTGAATTTATATGGTGTTTGTTGTATAGCCAGCTAGGCTTTTATAAAAAAAAATAATAAACATTAAATAAACAAAAGACAAATAGCCAAAACTGGTCAAAATATCGCACTCCTATTATTTTGTGGACAACTGTATATGATATAAGCGGGCGGTGCCACCCCCATTTTCCTAAACTTTCTTGAAAACCACTTTTTGCTCAAGAGCGATTATATATATAAATTTTTAATAGATATTGCTGAATTCCAGCAGTTTGGCTGCTCAAAAAGCCTGAACATCCGGTACATAAACAAAATATAAATTCAAGGCCGTATTTAAGAAAAGTCGACAATTTTTATGCGATCGCAATAAAAGCGACATCAGTTTATTTTGAAATAGCCCTACTCAGAATAATAATACATTATTACACATCTAGCGGCTAAGTCTTTTCATATGAATATAATAATTTTCTTAACAGGTGGCAAATAAGACATTGGTGCTTTTCTAGAGGTCAATCGCAAAATTTGGACAGGTGGCAACTTTATTAAAATTCTAAATAAAAAAGGTCACTCTCCTATCGATACATAGTATATTAGAAAAAATCTCGTCAAAATGCGTTCAGTAGTTTTCGAGATACATAACCGCATACAAAGAATCTCGACTTTCCTTTATACTATGTATAGATTTATGTTTATCCATCAACCCTAACCAGAATTATTTTTTTTTTAATTTTGCACAAGGTTTGGAACACTGATTTTTAGTGTTTTTGTTGTAGAACTAACCATATTTTTATAACAAATTAGCGAAAAATAAAATATTTAAAAAATAGTTGCCCGTACTGTAAAAAAATTCGCTGTACCTAAACTTTATTGACTGACTGTATGTACAATTAAAAATAAATTTAATAAATTTAAATTCAATAATTTGTTACTTACCAAAAGCTTAAGGAAACTCGCGTTGATTATTGGTATTTAGTTGTAGTGCCATTAGGCGAATGTTGTTTTTGTTTGGCTTAAAATTAATCCTTTTTTAAGAATCCCTGCAGATCTATGGTATATATATTGCTATTTGACGAGCTATGTATGTAGAAGCATTTGCTGTTCTATTGGCGCCGTGTAAAGTCGCCTTTCAAAGTACTACATAAGTTTGTAAGTTCCGTTTGGTGCATATGTTGGGTATATTGCGCCGATCATTCATTAATTTGTACAAGCATAGATGCATGTAATCGTATCTAATGTATAAGGAACATTATTCCGCTATGGTCACTTTCGCAGCAGTTTTATCGCTTTCTATTCTTTTTAATTGCAGCCGTTTCAAATTAGTTCGGAGAATAGCGTTGTCTTTACTTTCTAGCGCAGGAGCCAACAACCTTTTTTATCTCTAGCTTTTGGAAAGAGTCCTTACTATATACATGCCTCTACAAAACAGATATTTTTTATCTTAATTGTTGATTTTCTTTTGTTATTTATGTATCCCTTCTCAAGACAACAGAGATTGGAATTTCTTTCAACAAAAACCAATAAATTACGATACTTTCACCGTCAACTTTTTTTCAGAATACGAATGAATGGAGACTGGAGTTAAGAGGTCGTGGGGTGTTCATATGTATGCTTATTTCTATAAAAGAAGCATTATATAAAATTGTTAAGTTAGATTGCATTTAAGCAGCTGGTGAATGAAAGTTCGAGTGTTTAAATTTAAATATTTAGTAGTTAGTTAGCTGACCACTGTAGTGTAGTGATTAGAGGAACGGCCTGCCATTACGCAGGGCCTGGGTGCAAGCCAGAGCTGTAAAATACTTCAATCAAACTGGATTACAATCGCAAAATATACTTTCTATTGAAATTTGTTTTGATTGCAAAAATTGCAATATTGCAGAATAAAAGCAATCAGTTTCGATTGGAATCCAATTTGTAGCACAGTCATTGACTGCTAAGTAAAATTATTGCAATTTTTTGCAGCTCTGTTAAAGCCCGGTATCACCCTCAGAATATTAAAAAAAGTATTAAAAAATAAAAAAAGTTTTTTTTTATAATACCGGTCGCCCATCGACAGGTAAGCCGCCGGGTGTATTTCTGCCATGACAACGCTTCTCATAAAAATATTATCGCCGTTTGGAGTCGGGGTAAAACTGCACGTACCTCCCTTTTGCGCACACCACAAATCGGAGTAGAAGCCGGGCCAAAAACTAACACATTGTGTAAGCGCCAATCTATTATTATTATTATTATGTACATATGTATAATTTATGTACTTATAAACTTTCACAAAGGCACCTGTATACCGAGTGATGGCTATTAACAACCTCGGGATCCTTCACAGTGACTTCGTGACCATGCGAAGATTCAGTGTCGCAACGATCTTTGTTTACCTTTTTGGTTTTTTTCATTCTCAATTATTCTTCGTTTCTTTTCGCAAAAAATTGCGAAAATTTTGCTTTTATTTATCCAATTGGAAAATCTAGAATCTAGTACAAAAGAGAATATAGAGAAATATAAGCAAAAAGCGAATTTGCGTGACGTTTCGTTCACTTTTATGACACAGGTTCGCAAAAGAACGACGAGGCGATCCGCGTGACAATTATACGGTTATCTTACTCGCACTTCCACCTTATCAAGCAAAAATACGCCAACTCGGCACTGCTTAGCCGACGCCCAAGTGCAGCAAGACAGATATACTACAATACCGACGAAGCGAATACACACATGCCAGACGATATGACCGACGATGTATGTTTGACGGGCGAGGTCCCCTGAATAGAAAAAATCTGAAAAAGAAAACTTCCACCTAGAAGTTGCAATTTCTATCAAAAATGTTTTTCCTTTTCAGCAACTTTATATTTAGTTTGGACTAAGAAAAAGATTCGTCAACAATTCTGGTCAACCTTAAGAAAAATTAAGCGTTGTTCAACTTTTGCTAGTTAAATTGAATTGGCGACTTCTTATTTAGATAGATGACTTTCCCATTTATGTGTTTCAAAACTCCCAGCTTTCATTTAATTACATATTTCAGATGCACGATAATACACATAACTAGTGGGGGGACTCGAAAACTCTCTTCTACTTGGTGGAGTCCGGCTGATATCACTTATTTATTTGATTTTCAAAATCACTTTTTAAACAAGCAATCGTAAGATAATAAATTGAATTCCATTAGAAATGTTCCAAAAAAAATCAACACGCAATAGCAATATTAACAGTAGATATTTTCACAATTTTATAGAAGCAGCTTGAAAACCTCAGGTTTGCGATCAAAATTTGCACCTCACACCTTCTCCACTCCAGCCTCTTTTTTTTCATTCATTTCTGCGGTATATTAAATTTTCTTAGTCGAATTTTTCCAAATAATATTTACGGTACACATAAGCATATTACACATTCGTGGCACTTTGCTTACAAACGCTTTCGGTTATTTTTAGTTTAGCACATATTTCTTACTAATTTGACTAAATTTTCTATATTTTTTCTAAAAAATTACAAAATTTTCATCATTACCACACACGAGAAAAATCACACTGCACTACTGAAATGAATGGCAAGGAATGAGAGAGAAAACAACATTATCCAGAGAATTTCGAATGTCGGTAAGGTGGTGTAAGAAAAGGAAAAGGCAAATGAAAAAACTTGTGCAAAACTTTTGTAAAAGTTATCGATATTGAAAACGATAAGGCAGTGCAGCATGAATGCAACACTGCTATGAATACTTATATATTTTATTTATTATAATGTAAACAATTTTGGCGTGCTCAACGCGGGTAAAAAAAGTTAATTTCCGCTTTCGGATTCTTATTATTGGGGCCCAGACGCGTCTAATGGTACCCCCTTTCCAAAATTTTGACCAATTTTGGGGGTTGAAAGCCCACCTAGAAAATTACCAATTGTTGAAATTGACATCGATGTATTCAGCGATTTTAAATACTATTAAATATCAAAGGAAAACATCGAATTTCAGACCGATATTATCGATGTTTCAGAAACATCGATGCATCGTTTGCATCTCTAAACACTGCCAAATGTAATTTCTATAATAATAGATTGGCGCTTACACATATCCCAACGAACACCAAAAAATATTTCTCCAACCTTAGATAAATTAGATAGTTCCCAAGTTGATATCCAACTTCATTCTCAAACTCATTTTTTAACGACGCGCTGATACGTAAAAAGTGATAGAGAAACGAATTTTTAATTTTCATATGAAAAACTAAAGCTATATAAAGAGGAAAATTACAAAAAATTTGTCTTCAAAGCATCTTCAACTAATCTTCAAAGAAAATAAAACGGGAAGTGAATCAAGTGGGAGAATCACTGTCGGGCTGTATACTGCGAAGTGAATTATTGTAATATGATATTGTCTACATATTACAAAAGGAGTAATAAAATAAAAACTTAATATTTAAATTCATCTATGCATGTCGTTTCGATCAAAACGGTATAAGTTATTTTACTATTTCAATTTCCGTATTTCAATGATATTTTTGAGACCAATTGGAGTTCAAGTTGAGAACTAGCATTTTCTCAACTCTGCGATTTTTGCGATTATGTATTGCCTCTCTTTCCCAATTTAACTCAAAATTGCAAAAATTATAGCCGTAGTTGGAAAGCAGAAGCAAAACGACTTGTTTCTACTATACCGATTTTCTTCTAGTGTCAAGCCATGTTTTTTCAGTGTAGTACAGAAATTCCGCTAAATTGGACAGCCTAATCAATTAAAAGAAAATGCATGTGTACATTTTAAATAATTATTAAATTTAATGATATTTCTATAGTTTATACTTTAAACCAAGGACGGTAAAATAAACATTATTTTTTAACTTTTAACAAAAAAAAATCTAGATGTTGTAAGCAATAAAACAATTTTAACTACACTCACATATTTGCATTCGTTCGTTCTACTGTAATCTATAATGATTTTTATTTTTTGAGCTTAACCAATAAAAATCAAGAATAATTAATATCTGATTTTCATTTTTTTTTTATAAAAAATAGTGACTATTTTACGATTTTTATTTTTTAGCTCAAAAAATAATAATATTGATTTTTATTTTTTCACTTAAGAGTAATGATTATTCAAAAAACTCAAAAGCTATAATGGGGTAATATCCGACATATCCTTTTCAGAGGTAGCGACACTCTAATAAAAGGAATAAGTCCTAAAATTCGTAGGTTCTGTTGGTTGCGTCTATATGACCTCCCAAGTTTTATAAATAATTATTATTTCTGAGTGGAAAAATAAAACTCAATAATGATTATCTCTGAGCGAAAAAAATAAAAATCATAAAATAATGATTAAATGCTGATTTAAATTATTTTACTTATAATGATTACCGTCCTTGCTTTAAACGCATAAATATAAGGAATAAAAACAATTTATATTTATTATTGTTCATACGTAGTTGCATTTTTTCGAAACTGCGTTTTCACAGATTTTAGTAGGATGTATTAAAATACACCTTCAATACAAAATTTTTAAGTGCCCTACCGGTTTTTGATACTCTTTTTATAATGTTTTTTTTTTTTTGCTTCTTCTGTAAAATAAAAAAAAAATTGTTTAGGGCCTTTGTGAATTAATCGGCATCGGTACCGGTACCTGAAAAAATTTAAAATTCCGAAGTTCTCAGCTGACAGCTGATTTTAAGTAAACGTTACAATAGCACTTTTTTTAAACAGATTATTCACAATAAATGTATAGCTTTAAATTATAATACGCGTTAAAAAAAAAATCTAGATAGCAGAAAGGTTCGGCTCGGTAAAAACTTCGGTAGTTTTTTGCCGAAGCCGAGCATTTAGCCGAATATCATAATATTGCCGACTAATCTTTAAGCCGAAGTCGAACAATCGGAAAGGAGTCGAATATTTTTTTTATTTTTTTTATGTTACCGCATAACTTTGGACCACATTCTTTTTTCAAAGGAAAGGTGTTACCTCACAGGTGGACCCAAATTAATTTGGTTTAAGTCCGATCATCGGATCATGAAGATATTAACGATAATCTTAAATTTTTACACGAGTATATAAGTCGGCTTTGTTTTTTGCTTTAAAATTACTTGTTTTTAACAGAATTTTACACATATAACTCCCGAATAAACATTAGGCTTGGATAACAATTCGAAAATGATTGAAAAACCAATTTTTTTTTAAGTCTCACCTTAAATTCTCCAGCAAAACGTAACCTTTGTTTTCGAATATATTTTCGCTTCATTATGAATTTAAAATCCAGCCCATTACACTGTGCAACAATTCTAGGGTCATGGAATCCAACATGATCGATAGTACTTGACTAGGATAACAGAACTCGTAAAAGTTTATCTTTTTCAGTGTATTTTTCTGCACCAATTTTTTTTTCATAGGAACTCTTCAGAATATTGTAACGGAATAAAGGCATTGGACTGGATATGGATGTGTTCAGAAAAGCGAGAAAATTGATTTAGTCATATTTCATGATTCAATATCCGACGTGTAAAAAGTATTTAAATCATCTTTAAATTGCCATCAATACTTTGAAATCGGTTAAACAGTTTGTTATGGTTGAAATCAGCGTAAAAAGTACTATCGAGTGGGTTTTTTTTTACAGCTATGCGGTTTTTATTCTAGACTTGTTGCAGGACTGGATAATTTACGACGATTCTCGTCGTTTATTTATTTCAGCACGACAGTAGGCAATGCCAATGCAGTCGACAGACGTACAATTTAGCCTAATTTACGAATTACGCAATGAGGCTGCATCAGCTGGTGGTAGCAGAGGAAGAGGTAGGCCTTCTCCGAGATGGAAAACTTGGCGACTAGCTAACTTTATCAAAAGAGATAAAAGACGTAAGTTACAATTTCAAACCAAGAAATCAACTCATTTTTAGGAAATAAAAACCATCACTATTAGTTTTAGTTATTTATTTATTATCTTTTTATAAATTGTGGTGTTCTTTACAATTTGACCAGTAATGGTGGTACATATTCTACATCTGTATGTACATAAATAATCATTGCGTACAGTTCAATCAAATGAAATATTAGATGATATACCTTTCATATTTGTAAATGGTTATTTTTTATTGTTGTTTCCTCCTTAAACTCAAAAACCATCAACATAAATAACAGATAAAGTACCAACTTTTTATGGGAAAAATAAATATGTATATTCCCAAAAAAAAATTTGGTTTTAACTTTTACAAATCCGCAATGCGGTGGAAATTGTGCAAATTTATGTCTAATAAACATTTGGCATCGCTACAATTGTCCGCATAATTCAGTAGATATATTTGTTAGATACCAAAAAAAAAAATTAAGATTTATTAAAAACTCACCACATTTACTTGCTCAAAAGTAACCAAAATCAAAATTAATGTAGTTTGGTTTTCTTTCTTATTTATTTATTTTTCGATTTAAACATGTGTAAACTGCTTTTAGTCATTAACTGACTTTTGATTTCTTCTAAAATGTGTGTTTTTGTCTTAAAGTCTCCCTAGTCGGCTATATGTTGGCACTGGCTCTGTACTTGTTTTATTTTCTTTTGTTTTTCACAATAATGTTGTAACTCACAAAAATGTCCCATATAATTTAGTTCTTGTTTTTTCGTTTCATGCTGGGATTTACATATATCAAAATTATTATTTTTATAATCATTATTTTTTTACGCTTAACTCTAACGTAAGTAGACTGTTATTTAACACATATGTATGTATGTATGTATGCTCTTGTTTTGCGCACAAATTCTAACTATCAAATGCAGATATGTAAAACGTACATACAAATATTTGCATTAATGTGTTCGTCAAATTTTGTTGAGGTCAATTTTTGATAAATATTGTGAACTGCCTGAAAACAGGTTTGTGGCCTTGTTTATTATTTTCATTTTCATTTTCATTAATTTCCGTTTATATCGTATGCATGTTTTTGCATTTTTGTATAAATGATTTTTGTATGCTACGTTTATACTGATTTCCCCCTCGTTATTCCCACGTAATAATTTCTCTGATTTGTTTTAATTAAAATGTGCATTCCACTTTCTTACGATCGGCGGCGAACTTCAGTGTAAATCAACACTTTATGTATCTATAAGTTTTGCTAATATACTTGTTTTGTATTGTTTTTTTGTTTACATAAACATTCCATTTTTAAGCAAAATGTTGATCGCATAGCCACCAAACCAACCAAAAATGGATACTTAACTCTTGTTTTCTTTCAAATTTATAGTAAATAAATAGTTTGTTAATAAATATTAGTTAGCGCTTTTAGCCTACTCCGTTTTACCCATTCTCAAGTGAAACTTATTTATTAAAATATAATATGTATACATATTAAAAAATTAACAATAACAATAAATTTTTGATCAACTTTCATCTGAAAAGTTGATTTAACTTTTTTTGATAAACGAAATCTGATATGTATTAATTAGTGAAATAATCAATTTACAATTCGAATTCAAATACACATTTTTGTTGTAAAAGATTTGAATTCAAGAAATGTGGTAAGGAAGCACGAGTGAAAAATAAAATGAAAACTCACATAAAACAAAGTTTTTTTTTCTCTAATGCCGTGGCATGAATACAGAATCCGGCCGATTCCTTTGATCTCACAAATATTATGATCAACAGCGTATTTTTACTAACTTCTGCATTCATCAAAAAAAAAAAAGAAGCTTTTAATGTTTAGTTTTTTTACTGTTCTTTTTTTAATTGAAAACAAAAATAGTCAATATAAATAAAAATATGTAGTATTGCAAATATGAACAAAAATATATACATATATATGTATAAGACAGCAGAAGAAAATATATGCACTTTGCATGGGTATACATATGTATGTATGCGTGTAGTTACTACATAATGTAATATATGTACGTATGTTAATACATTCTATTGTATATATTGTACGTCCAAATGTAAAAGTTGGCGTCCAAATCAGAAGTTCTACAGCAAATTTCGTCAGTTTGCTTTTTTGATTGCTTCTGTGTGCTTTATAGGATAGAAGAGTACATAGATTTTTCTACAGAGAAAATTCATTTATAAATATTTATAAAAAAAAATCAACAATTATTCTTGCATTCGCTGCAGTCAATTTAACGCCATTTTTGGACTGTATTTACGGCCTTTCATTGTCTACTTCTGCTTAAAACTCGGTGCTAAATTCTCGATGTAGATAGCTTTGCTTCCTTTTCTTATGCTTCACTTATTTTTTATTGATTGATGCTCTTTTGTTCGTTGCACTGGCCTGCTGTTGTTTGCTGCTTGTCCGCCGCTTGGTCGTCTAGATCGGCCGTGTGAAGTTAGCAGGGAATAAACCTTTCTCGTCTGTACCCTCCTTCTGGCCCATCAACCAGCCTTCCTCCTGCAAATTTGAAATGAAAAACTACGCTTAATAAAGTCACGGAACATAGTCGGTGTGAGATGTGAAAGGCAAGCACATAAAGGGACGGGAGGGAAATTATGCTAAAAGGGAATATTTATCAAATTTTCTCAAATACAACTTCGCCTTCACACGAAAACATGAATTCCAGAGAATGAGGTTCGAGGGTGAGTGGGTTGCGAAAAATTTCAACACACGTACAATTTCATAAATTTTGAGTCAGACAAATATATATGTAGATTTGCGTGGATTCATAAGCGGCAGGTTCTTGTGGCATAAGAATAACACTTTGCAACTTTTTGAGTTACTTAGTGAGAGTTTCGGGATATTAGAAGAATTTTAAGCACAGTTTTGTAGATTGCGCGAACAGATCAACGACCTGTACGAGGTCACTTAAAAAGTTCCTGCAATTTTCTGGATTTTGTAATTAAAACATTCTCGCTGGGCGAGCAGATGTCAATCTACCAAGCAAGCCTTCGCAAATTGTTAGTCACATATTTCACATTTTCATATTTACCTGATCCTCCGGATCGTCATACTCAATAACTCGTATAATATCGCCAACTTCGAAGCTTAATTCGTCGACGTCCTCCTTCACATAGCCATAGGTCGCCTTGACACGGTAAAGCACACCTGCTGGCAAATCCGATGTGGTGGCGTCTGTGAAATATAATGAATTTAAGAGAATATTGTTAAAAAAGCTCTATATATATTTGTATACTTGGATAAATTTTCGCACTACCAGTGTATTCAAAGGAAATTTTCGTTTCGAAAAATAGTTTGCCACGTAGTAAGAGGTATACACACTCTCTCTGAATGTTTATTTGCGCTTTAAATCAAAGAGTAACTAAACTAGCCATAAACGAAAATCTTCCTTACCATACACTTTCGTAGATGAAGCGCACATTTAGCACAGAAAAGGGGTTAGAGAAGAGTAAGCATTAACCGCGAATCCAAATTCAGCTCACAGCCTCTGCGTTGGTTAATTATTATTAATACGGTTCTTGCCTTTACTATTTTGTTATAACATTGCATTTGCAGCAGCAGCTACGGTTAGCCCAACCAATTTCAAAAAAAAAAATATATATATATAAAAAATGCAAAGCCTTTAACGCGGCGCTTGGTTAGATTTACGTTGGTGTTAATAAGAAATTTCAAAAGAAAAACATTACAATTGTAAGACAACGAATTTTCGAAAAAGAAAAAAACTTCGAAAACACTGTTTAGCTTTGTTAGGTTTGTTGGCGGCAAAAATCGAAAGACTTGAGCAACGAACGTGCATTTTCATCGCTGTTACAGATAACATGCAACGAACTGCATTTGTTTGTGTACCTTGCGTGTTAAATAATGCAAAAAAAAAAAAAAAACCATAATGAATTAAAATCGGTATTGATGGATACAGTGTGTTGGCTGTGATTCGATTTATTGTGAAATCGAGTTTTTTTGTGAAGTTGTATGAAACACTCGCGAATACAGCCTTTGAAATTGTGCGTGCGTGTGTGTGCGTGTGGGTTTAAGTGTTTAAAACCGAACTTTTGTACTAGTATTCCTTCACCCATTAACAGTCAAAAAGTAAGGTGGTAAAAACTCAATGGTTTTAACAGAGTTCGAATATAACTATTAATCAATACAAATTTTCATAATGTGGTAATACTTATCGAATATGAAATACAGCAGCGGCCATTAACAGCAGCCTTTTTATCAATGATTTTATGATTGCTCTCAGTAAGAAACCGTAACCACACAAATATACAAATTTGCTTTAGTCAGTGAGGAATATAAATCAGCGGAAAAAATAAATCTCCTTCGCGTGTATATGTATGTGCATGTATGGAAGTTACCTACATATATATGTAAGAAACCATTTAAAATCAGCCTCCAGGGTGAGCATCGGTGAAGGAGATATACATATATATCTCTAGAAATTTATTGCATGTATATAAATTTCTGAGGAACACCTTTACAACGTTGCGCAAGGGTTATTTTGGAGCTCAGACTTTTAAGATAACGTTTGCTTAACCTCATTCTGAATTTCAAACATCTATTACCTTACGTAAATTAAATAATCACAAAAAAAACTTTCCTTTAGCTACATATCGTCATCTGAAATGCAAAAATCGTAAATAAAATGGAAAAAGTCGTGACTAATATTTTAATATTTTTTTTTTAAATGATGTCGATGAAATCCATCATATAAATCAAAAAGTGAATTTTGAATTTTTTTTTAGTTATGACTTTTTGCATTTCAGCGATGATGTTTGTTACGCCTTTTTGCATTTCAGGTGACGATATGTATATGTATACAGACATCGCTACCAGTCCGGTGGAAAGTCATTTCCGATTAATTAATCACTAGCGTTGGCCTGATAAACAGAAATTACCTGACAACCTACATACATATGTACATATATTAAACTCAGCATCATATACCCTGTCTATCATTATCTTTATCGAGAAACCTGACTTTATTAGCGTTTTGCCGCCCTTTTCATTCCAATGGACATTCGGTTAGCGAACAAAATCATACTTTTTGTCGGGTATTTGAAATGACAAATTAAATAAATATTCTACATTTATAATTACTTAATGTGTACAGTTTATCGCAAAGGACGATCATATCTTCGCAGGAAGGTAAAATCTGTTTCATCCGAACATAAACTAATTGACAGAACTTAACCAGACTGACATACTTAATAATGAAAAAAAATCAACGAATCTATATTAAATCGGTGAGACAAAAGCTACTAGCTTTCGAAAATGGACTGCCAAATTTCCGTGAGGATCAATTCAAAGAACTATGCGAGTGCATAGCACAAAAGTAGAATCTTCTTTGCTGTCTGGTTAGGCGTTTCAATGTAAATGTGTTTGTCCCTAACCTAAAAGGTTTTAAGCATCCCGACAGCACACACAATTTATTTAGGTATCTAAAAGTGCCAGTTGTATAGCTCAGCTGAGAGGTAAAGAAGATTCGTTAAGCAAAAAACACTTTGACAATTTCGGCATTACATTGCATCAATATATGTACACGCCCAACAACAACAGCTATGTGCACGCATTGACTCCTTCATAGGAAGTTATTTGTACTCCTCTTTGCTTGATTGCACGTAGGAGTAAAGAAGCTACAGCTGGAATACATACTACATACATATAAATATATAAAGGAAAGCCAGAAGTATGAGAAGTAGAATAGGTGAGGAAGCGTTCGATCGTTTTCGATCATCAAATACAAGTATCTTTACCGTACTCGTTTCTTCGGCGCTGTGCCGACGAGCTGTGTACTCACCAGTTGGTATTTCGTAGATTTGTTCATCTTCTTCAAAAGGATTTTTACTAACCGGTGCTTCTAGCTTTTGACCGTTGTGGCTGTTTTGCGGATTAACAGCATTAATATTTTGCTCCGAATTTGCGGGAGCTTCGTTATTAACTTTGATATTATGGTCATTGGTAGGGACGGTGCGCTTATCAACGTTTTCACATTGATTGGGCACAGTCGCAGCGGCGCGAGATTTTCGAATCAAATTCAATGGGTTCAATAACTGTGCTTTGTGTCTTTTTGGTGACTTTTGAATGACTTTACCTCCTGATTTTTTACTCGTCTCATCCGCATTGCCGTTGTTAACATCTGTCGCCGTTGTCGTTGGTGTTGTTGCGGTCGCCGGTGGGGTAGCATTGGTGGTGGTCGATTGCGTCGCCAATGAACTCCCATTGATGTCGTCGCTGCTGTTACCATTCAGCTGTTCTGGTGTTGGTTTCGCCCCTTTTTTTGCAGTGTGGCTGCTACCCTCGTCTACGCTGTTAGAGGTCGCCGCTGCCGCTTCTACTTTGTTGTTGGTTGCTACTGCGTCGGTCCTGATTGATGATGCTTCAGCGCCGGCAGCAGTTGCAGCAGCTGCAGCAATTTGCGTTTGCGCAACAATTGTATTTTCGTTCTTCTCTGTCTCTGTCGGCGCACCGAGAGTGTTCGCGGTGTTCGCATTTGGACTGTCGAGTACAGCGCTGTGGCGTTGCTCGCTGCTGTTATTACTATTATTCGGCGTCGCTACATTTGTAACTGTCGAAAGTAGGTCAGCAGCATGCTGATATGAAGGCGGAGCCACTGGTCCGGCGAGGGGGCTATTTTCCGGCGAAGATGGTGAGCCAACGCTGGCGTTGGAGAGGGTGGGGGCGGCCGCAGTGGAGGCTTTCAAAATTTCCGGCGTCGATTCTGGTGTTGGAGAAACTGAGTCAAGCCTGGATGTTTGATGTGAAGAGCTTGTGGATGTGGATGATGCTGTTTTTTGTTTTTGTGTTCGTTGTGTGATTGTGGTTGTCGTTTCGTATGTAGATTTGCGAATTACAGTTTACGAATTTTTGATTTCGAATTTTGATTCCAATTGAAATTTTCATTTTATTCCATTTAGTTGTGTTGTTAAATTTTTTTTTTGTTTAGTTGGTTGCAATAATCAGTTGTTAGAGGCATTCCAAACGAAACGAAATGAAAGAAAATTTGGGGGAAACAAGAAAATAAGAAACTCATCACATGCATGTCAAATGGTTTAAATTTTGCAAATGAAACAACAATCGCTTAAATTTGTAAAAGAGGAAAAAAAATAAAGAACATAACCAAAGCGATAGCGAAGGGCATGCAAATTTCGTTACCAAAAATCATAATCAAAGCTTAGATGAAGCTTAAAAGCATACACACGCTCACACACAAAATACGGTAATGATTTTTGAAATAAAAAGCTTAATCGGCCTGAAGTTTGTTTTAAAACTCTATTAGACTAGCTCTGTCAAGCCGCAGAGGTCGCTAAAACCCTATTCAGCAATGCGATATGTTGATACATTCAGTGGAATGCGCCCAATGGCACAACCACTTCTTGTGCAGGTACATTATTAATGCAGTAGATCGGTTGTTGATTTTCTCTTAAATCGGGTAAAAGTATTTGAGTGGCATGTCAACTCTGTTATGAGTGCGTTGGGGGCGGGGTGACTCAGTAGTCTCAAGTTCGCTGATTCAGCTTGTTTTTTAATTTCTTCTGAAACGGTGAGAATCTTGAGTTCCCGGTGGAGTTGGATAGTCCAAATCGGTTTTATGGTTGTTAAGTAAAGTAATAGTTTGTTTTCTACTGATAATTGAGAGTGTCGAGAGAATCGCTCAGGCGGTTACAGCGCCAAATAAGAAGAAGAAGTAGGCGTTCCCACTACAGTCGGGTCTACGTAACCGGAACGACCCAGATTTATATCTGGCCAAGGACTGTCACTCCAGCAACACTCCCCAAAATCTCTGGGGAATTTGTATGCTGTTACAACAACAACAACAAGAAGAAGTAGGACTATAGGGGCTATTGTGGGAGTCCAGAATGTACTAAAATGTTATAATACGTTTCTCGTTACGAATAATTGTTCTTTCTACACCCTTTCAAGTTTATAATGAGAAAATGTAAATTAACACTGAGAAAACACAAATTCATAATTATCAATTATAATTATTAATTATCATTTTAATGAGTAAATTCATAATGAGAAAATATGTAACTCAGTTTTTGAGGATTGCAGTACCTCGAAAGTGCAGTGGATGAAGCAAAAAAACGCTATTACGGGAGGAGAGACTGCGAACGTACAATTCAACATACGATTACATCCCAGACAGGATGTTCTAAGCTTAGACGATATGCACGGGGGCTATAAATGTACTCGCCAACTTTAATTTAGCGTTGTAAATGTACTTGCTATTGTAAAGTAAAGTTTTTTGCAGTGTCCTATGATTGTTTCTTTAATTTACCTCATGACGCAGGCTTAGCTCGCAGACTCCAGACTAATGTACTAGTAGCTCTTCATTGTTATAATTTTTTTGTGTTTTCATTATCAATTTACGTTCTCATTATCAATTTGTATATTCTTAATAAGAAATTACGTTTCCCCGTTATTAATTTGTATTTTCTCAGTATAAACATGAAGAGGTTTAGTAGAGATCAATAGATCAAAAGAACAAAAAACTCCAAGAAACTGGAAGAAACATTTTAAAACTGTTTAAACGGAAGAATAGAGAGATGTACAGCAGCCATTTTAAAAACTTGTTTTATATCTTTGGTGAAAACAATACACGTGCAGGTGTTGGAAAAAAAATAGTAGAAACAGGTTATTATTCTGCAATTTGATGAGCTTTCTTTTATTTGCACAAAACTGTTTAGGGAGCGACGATATACAAAAATTAAGAGGAAATTGTGAAGCAAATTACAGAATTTACTAAATCTTGTACGAAAAAGATAAAAACGAGAAATTGCAGCTCGTTAGGAAAGTCAGTGTTCGAGAATACTTTTGAGGCTCGGAGAAGCTTAGTACCGACTCGTAGCTTGGAGTAACTAATCCCACAACCAGTATGGGCCTAAGGAGGAAAGTTCATTATGAAAAACTCTCGCAAAAGTACCCTTATGTTGTGCCCCCTTCTGCTTATTAAAAATACGCACAGTTTTACTTACGAATGTGTAAAGTGAATTTAACTAAACTAAAACTGAAAAATTAAATCAAACACGAAGGAAATATAAGCTAATCATTAAGTGTTGTTATGCATGGGCATTAAATCTAATACAATTATATACATACATACATACATACATACATACATACATATAAATCTCACGCAAATCCTTAGCCATGAAGCGCAAACTTACAAATTAATAATAGTTGAAATAATTAATTAAACATTTTACTTTTTAATTGCAAAATATCCCAGCAAAGTACATCTCGTTCAACTATTAGAAATCTTTGTTTATTTGAGCTTTGCAGAGACTAAATCAAAAGATATTGTAACTACCAACTAAATCAGGAAAAAATTTTTATTGAAATTTATGGAAATGCAAATTAATGTAAAGCAATATTTATTCAGCTAGATGCATTAGGATGGAAGTTATTGAAAAGAAAATAAGCAAAAAGTGTTGCAAAAAGAAAATAGAAATAAAACGCATTAAAATGACCAACAACATTCTAAGATGACATAAATTTTCTATATTATATATTTTTCTCTCTCTCTCTCGCTCTATTTCCTCACTCGCTCTTAAATTCTTTCACGCACGCATTCAATTTAGCATTGCGATTGCATTCGCATTAGAGTATTTTACTACAAAAAAAATAAAGCGCTATTTCGAAACTCAACAGCAGCAACCTCCAAGAAATATAATTTACATGAGGTGTTGTTGGTATAATTTGCGTGTATGCACTAAAATACTTACGACTATTGACATTACTAGAGCCATTTGTGGTGATCTGATTTTGATAGTTGCTGTTGTTAGTGGGGCTTGTGTTGTTCATTTGCTTGAATGGCGACGTCTTTGTGGGGCTTGGAGCGGAAAAGGAAGAGCCTGGGGGAGGGGGGAAAAGAAGACGAAATAAAGAAGTGTGTACCATATATCGCACAGCGCTACTTACTTTCCATAAATTTACTAGTTTGTTTGCGTAGCGTATTCGAGCCGCGTTGCGAATCCGTTGCTAATTTGTCCACAATCGCCTCCAATTCGGAGTAGATCTAAGACGAGCGCGGGTTAGTGAGCTACAGATTTACTATTAGCTTAGGACTCACCTTCGCCGTTTCATTGTGAAACACTTGTTCCGTTGCAAAGAGCGTCTGCAAATTGGTAACCAAAAACAATATTCTTGAGTCATATAAGGCGGGCAACTCATCATGCAATTCAGTGTTGAGAATTTCATATGTGCGACGTGCTTCCTCCAGCTGCTCGCGTCCTTTAGTGAGCTTTAGTTTTAGATCGATTAACGAAATATTATTACAAATTAGGGCGAATCAAGAGAATTGTTAGTTTTTTGTATGGTCAATAGAAATCACACCTTAACATCATCCTTGCGCTTGTTGGCATTCGCCTGTAGACTCTGGAACGAGTGACGTTGCCCATCATAGTCGATCAGCTTTCTATTGCGTTTGTCCACTTTTTTCTGTTAAAATTGCAAATATTTTTTTTGTTTTTAAGTACATATGTAATATAATTTGTGTCCATAACAAATTACATACCTTCATTTCCGGAAATTGTCCAGTGTACGTATTCAATGGAATTAGTACTTGATCGGCCAATTTATGGGCGAAATCTTGCCAAAGGCTTTCGGTTGCGCCAGCCTGCGCCTGCAACGCATCGTAGCCGACCCAGTGTGGTTCATAGACTTCCGATATGGCATCCATTAGCGACTTGGAAGCAGCTTGAGCAGCTGTAATAAATGCCCAACATTAGCGATCTTTTAAGTGAACATAGGAACACATAATTTCTTTTTCATTCGCAATATTTACCTCGAATGCATCTGATGTAATTGTTGAACTCTTTTTGTAATCTGTTGGCATTGGTTTGTTGGCGATTGAAGTTATTTAAATGTTCATCGAAGATATCGTCAGCGGTACGATCGACTTTGCCCAAGTTTTGCAAAATCTGAAAGAATAATAACAAAAAAAAAAAAAAAACAAATCTATGAAATAGTAATTGTAACGAAAATGGTATAATTTCTTCTCAAGAAGAATGTTAAGCTTAATTTCTAAAAATGTATAGTGAAATGCCGGATTTCCACTGGGCATTAAATTTTTAATCACAAAGTTGGGCATTAAAAAAATACCTGTGCCATAACGTTAAGAACAATTGTCATTAAATTCGTTTCCACATGGCATTTTTTTAATAATTTTTCGTAATTTCAATGCCTAGTGGAAATTCGGAATAAGGGCGTAATTTGATAAACACCTTTTCAAAATATGTATGTTATACATAAATTTGTGTGTTATACATAAATATGTATGTATGTACATATATATGTACATTAGACTGCGCCTTAGTTGTATGGAGAAAAGTGGTCAAAATTGCCTATAAGTCCTAATATGTCGTAATGGCCCTTGATGAAGTTTTGTCCCTCGAAACTGTTGAAAATGGCGAAAATCGTGGCAATGCAAAATTTTTTCACTCTTTTTGCCTATTATTTACAATAAAAATAAATTGTGGCATCACAAAGCACAATTTTACATTGTCTAAGTGAGCTCCGGTTATACGGGGCTGCCCCTTGCCTAACCTAACGCACAATAAAAAATTATTTTTTATAAAAAAGCTTGTATGTATATAAAAAAAATGTGGGAAATTAAATTCTCTAAAAATTTGTATACAACCATTTTTTACGAAAAATGCAAAATAAGCTTGCAAATCGCAAAAAAACTAAAATTCACGATGGCGGAATGTTCCTATATGAAATTAAGGGGGAAGATTGTAGATCCATGGTCTACGTGCCAAATAAAAGTAAACTGCATCAAAAACTCGCTACTAAATAATTTTTTTTTTCTTTGCACCAATTTGATCTAAATTTACTGGGCTAAAAATTAACTGCTCAAAACCTGCAAAATGTAATTTTTGACATGGGGGGACAAAACAACATCAAGTGCCGTTAAACTCTATTAAATTTCCCCCTGATTTATAGGCAATTTTGACCACTTTGTTAAAAATTCCATCAATTTGCTGAACTTAAGGGCCTTTAAGGCAAGTCTTATCCGTTATCCGATTTAAAAAATGTATTGCAGGTCACGTTTTTATGACCCAATGAACCTTTCCGGGAATGAGTCTTGCTTCGTAGGGCAAAGTTGCAAAATAAGGAGCAGTCTAATGTACATACATACATGCTTATGAGTGTATGTATTTAACTTTTGTTTTGTATTAACTTTTTTGTTGACTTTAAAGCTGTGTAATTGGAGCTGCTTGCTCAACGTGCACGCTTTGGTAAATTTTATAAATTGCATACCGACAACCTTAAGAGCGTCGAATATGCAGCCATCGAGCGAGTACATAAGTCCATATGAATGAGTGGGCAGTGGGCAAAGTGTATGGAGCACGGGCGTACATACATATGGAATAATGGTAAGTGAAGTTTATTGTAGGTAAATTCGTTGTATGTACATATGTATGTATGTATTTATGGTGCACTTCACCTTGACATTCACATCGTTTTTACTCCAGATGTTTTCAAAACGTAACAAAGTATGTAGCTGAATAGGCACTGCACTGCGTGTAAATACATACATACATATGTACATACATACATACATATGTAGAAAATGTTCAGATTTATGTGAAACAGCACTACTGAATACTTTGTTTTGATTTCCATTGTAAAAAAAAGTTAAAATAATAAATAAATTATACATACTCACACACATACATACATAGGTACATACATACTCGTAGGTAGTAGCTTGCATACATATGTTCAATTGTCAAAAGTATTCAGGTTACGAATACGACACGTTGGCGCACGAATTCTTGTCTGGCCGCCTACAATCCGCCAGTGAACAATAATAAACAACAACAACAATTATGTTCCGACTTTTGACTAGTTACGAAACGATTTGTTATACTGGCAACACAAAACTAATTCGCAGTAAATATTTATAAAGCTTGCGCTTTGTGTTCTACGAGCCACCATGCCCGTGACTTTAGTAACGCCGTCATCAAATGATGAAGCCAAGCCAATGAACATTATTTGACTGCGAATGTTTCTAAAGTCAGCGCGTCCATTCTATTCCCATTAAAGAAATTTAGTTACCTTTCTGTTAAAATATTGATAAGATTTTATAGTAATGTACGTATGTACATAAATAAAAAGGGGCCATTCCATTGTGACTGGTGGGACATTTTACTCCAGAATGTGATCAATTGTGAATTATAACTACATATGCCATCGGAACTTATACAACAGCGAAAGATAATTTTTAACATAGAACGATAACTAATGTATACAATTGATTTAACAAAAATACCACATGATTTCTTAGTGGGCCACTGATGAATATTGGCAAAGAAAAAACGTAATTTTCAAGCAAAATGTTTTTGTGTTGCAAAATTTGAACTATACACTTTCGTTTTCAATAAAAATTGGGCTTATGTATGTACACATGTAATCTTCATAGAAATATTAAAAAATATTTAAATTTGTGACTGGTGGGGTATGTCCTTGTGACTGGTGTATAGTAATGATGCATAAAGTAAAAATTTCCATACACAAAAATTATAACTTATTTTTATTTCTTTAATATTTTTCAACAGATTAATAAAATGCAGTAATTTAAAAAGAGATTACTACTGAAATAGAGATAATTAGGGCATTTTAAAATTGATGTCGCTTTCCTCGTTTGCATGGAATGACCCAAATACAAAACAATAACGATACTAAGCATGATAGATATACCGATAAAACGCCGATATTAATATTGATATCGATAAATATGGCAATTATAATTACGAAAACGGTGTCGACAATGATAACAGTAAAATAGGTGCCATTGATAATGATGAAAGATTCCGGTAACGATAATAATAATATCAATATCACGGTCGACTACGAGCTTTTAAAACGCTATGAAATGTATGCCAATCGGTAACTTGGCACTTGCGACTCCTTCGAAAACCCTCATATAATATCAGTTCATCACTTTTTGCTTAAACTGCACTATTTAGAAGACTAAGTTCTTATCAATATTTTGTTGCCGCTATAAGTTATTCCCGCGGCACCAATAAAAACAACAATGTTTTAATGGAACAACAATACCATTCGTTATTCGCTTTGGTTGAGCTGCTTTGACGTGTGGCCGGCCGTATGCCGTATCGCCTACCGTTTCAACAAAAATCATGGCTGCCAGCCAGTTCGGTTGATTGCTGCTGCTTTAATCCAATAAAAAAGGGAATCTATTGCCGCAGAAAATCGAACACAACTCGGAGTCGGAGGCATAGCAACAACAAGAATGTGTACAAGTATAGCATTATACATATTTATAATGATTTGTAAGTATATGTAGCAGCATAAACAATTGTATTAATACACCAACAACACATTCATACGTTCTTACCAAGCATGCAAATGGTTTGGCACACTCGCAAAATCCCAGAGATTCAACAAAAAAAAAAAAAGCTGCAATCAAATAAGAAGCTTGGAGGTATGTACATACATACATATATGTATATATGTCCTCGTTAAAGTTTACAGCGTCGAAAATAAACTTAATAATCACATTTGTCATAAAAAATATATCGTAAAACTTCACAAAAAAAAAATAAAAATCAGAAAAAATGGGAAAATGTTAATAAAACAGATTTTCATTTTATCAAAAATTCAAAAATGTTTTAAACATTTAAATTTTCGTTGCAATTTAATATAATATCGTAATGCAAGTTTTACTCAAAAGTGAATAACTCACGTATCCAATTTCAATAAGGGTAATTTTTTACCCATTTAAACCTAAAAAATTTCAAACATTTTGTCTTTCACTAAGAAATTGTGGCCGTTAATTTTTTAATGATATATTTTCTATGTATTTTTATTTGACATTGGGCGTTTTTGAATCGGCAGCTGAGATAAGGCGTTTTTGAACCGAATTCTGAGATAGGGCATTCTTCAACCAAATTCTAAAATAAGGCGTTGTTGAAAAATTTCTGAGATAGAGCGTTTTCGAGCTGGCTGCCGAGATAGGTCGATAGGTCAGCCATCGAAATAAAGTCACAAAATTTAATTTCAAGTGAAAATATTTCAGTTTTTGAAATAAAAAGTAAGTTTAATTAATTTGTTTATTATATGTTTAGCTGGAATAGACAAAGACGTCTTTTTGTAACTTTGGGTGGTACGAGGCCTGCATTGCATTCACGAAAAACGTGAAATTATTAAAACCCTTATTAAAAATGAGAAAATATACAAAGAAGTGGAAAAAATCGTTAGGTGTTCAAAATAAACCTGAAACAAGTAAGAGCAGCACTATCTTCGGCTATGCCGAAGCCTTCATACCTTTCATGAATATCTGAAAATTTTACTACAACAGATTACTGCATTTAAAAAAATGTATCTATTTACAGCATACATAGATAGAGGAGATACATATATGTATAAAAAATTATATCTAAACAATCAGATGTATGGAAGATATCCTTATCTAGCACCAATCTAAGTGATTTTCACTGCTGTGTGATCAGTATGTAAGCCGGTAACAAAATTTAATGGGCTTAGCTTCCTACATAAAGGAGATATATCGTAATAACTGGTATCTGAACAATTAGAGGTTTAAGAGATAAAGCTCATACAGCATAGATTTTGACAATTTTCTCAGTAGACTTTGTATTATTATTTATACAATAGCTTACGAAATTTATCTGTTTTAGCAGTCCAAATAAAGGAGTTTTACAGTAAAACCCCATATCTGAACAATCAGTTGTATGGAGGCTATAGGTTATAGCGGCCCGATCTTCGCCATTTTCACTGAAAGTATTCTTATCATAATGAGTGACAACAGTGCCAAATTCCTAGCTACTTAGATGGAGGAGTTATAACGAAAAATCTTATATCTGAACAATCAGTTGTATGGGAGCTATAAGTTATAGTGTCCCGATCTTTGTAATTTTCACTTTAAGTTTTCTGT